ACCAGAAAACAACCAAGGTGGGGAGAAAGGGGAGGGAAGGAAAGAAGAAAAGAGAGGAGATAGACACAGAGAGAGACAGAGACAGAGATAAAAAGACAGACAGACAGACAGACAGACAGACAGAAAAAGACACATACTCCCAGAAACACCTTCCCACTCAGAAAAAAACCACAAAACAGTTACTATAGTATAGATTTTTAATGTGAACTTAGTATTACTTTGAGTTTCTATGAATAGTAACTGAACCCTCACAAGAGCCCTATGAGATGGGTAATAGTCTCCTCCGACGAGACATGAAGGACACCAAAAATGTTACCTCATACATGTGCACATACTTTTATACTTACACATGCCCACAAATGGGTCCTTATCTCATATAGGGCCAGTGAACCCTTTAGAAATCAAATAAAACTACAAACTTCTGTATCGCCTAACTCCTATTGAACACTGAAAATCCACACAAAGGTCTGTGCCCAGTATCAGAAGCACTGGGAACCTCCTTTAAGAACACTCCTAATTACTGATTCGAGGTTATACCTGTGCCATGGCCACAGGTGTCTAAGATTAGAGCTATCACAGGGCAAAGAATATCACCTTGGCCTACCTGTGATCTTCTGTGCCCACAGGGAAGCGAATCTGTCTTGGAGAAGGAATTGCCCGTGCTGAGTTGTTCCTCTTCTTCACCACCATCCTCCAGAACTTCTCCATAGCCAGCCCAGTGCCTCCTCAGGACATTGACCTCACACCCCAGGAGGTTGGTTTTGGCAGAATACCCCCAGTATACCAGATGTCTTACCTGCCCTGCAAGATGCTCTGAGGGGAGGAGAATAAACGATTGCAGGGTCATTGAGTGCCTAACTGTAGAGAATGACAGCTTACTTCCTGCATCTAAGAAATCTATTGTGAACCAGCATCTTTCCCCCACCTGGCTGCTACCCCATGCAAAAGTTATTTTTGTAGGCTTCCTTCCATACTGCTGCACTTCTAAAGCTCTGTGTTGATTTCTTTCTTGTGTGAATTGAGGTGCAGAAGTTAGGAAGTGGATCAACAGTAATCAAGCCCCTTCTTTGGTGAATATAAAGCAGTTAGGGGTTAAAAGTGATAAATTGCCTCAAGGACCTTCTGGAATTCTGCTTCCCAGGATACAGCTCACTCGGAGTGACTTTTTCCTTGCTCAGAACGATCACACACTGTGTTTGTCACCTCCTTGTGTTTCATGCTCTGTGCTAAAGGGTTCTGTGTAAAAATATCCTCTCCATTGCTCCAGGTGATGGGTGCCAGGGTCATGCCCATTTTACAGATGAATAAGAGAGGTCAGACAGTGGCAACAGCTGCTTGAGGTCACAATGCCAGTGAGTGGAGGAGCAGATTGATCCTCCAGTGTAAAGCTCAAACTCTTCACTATTGCACCACTGAATGAAGATCAAATTAACCTAACATAAAATGGACCACTCTAAGATCGATTAAGTGCTACATAGTTCATCTACAAGACTGTACCTCTGGGAGAGGTTGGAGTTGGAAATTGGTCTCATGTGTGAGGGCAGGACAGAGCCACAGTGCCTCAAGTAGTCAAGCCATCTTAGTCTTGAAAAAGCATCCTGCCTGGATAGTTGCTAGGCAACATTGCAAGAGTATAAATAAACATTCCTATTCCCAGCCGAAAAGCGCCCAAAGAGCCAGGTAGGCCGCACCCAATCCCGGAGGCCAGGACGCGAGAACAAAGACCCCGGTGACACTGCAGACTGAGTT